AGATTACAACAACCCAAATGCCCAGTGGATAAGAAGTATTGATATTAAACAAATCAAAAAATAAAAGGACCAGGACCAGAGGTTAGGTCGGCCTACTGTGAATAGATAAAACCAATGCTCAGGGTTCTCGCGGAAAATGCGCTGTGGCTGTTCAGAGAGATCACCAGGCTTCCCCAGTGACCCTTACTGTCTTTTGAATAACAGCTTAAGTCCCAAATCATCGTTAGCAGTCTTCTCAGCAGGCTGGACAGTCCACTGTTCAGGAGCGGGTACTGCTTTCAGTCGAGAGTGATGAAACCAGTTCTTGTGTCCTTTGACCTTTGCCGCTGTGTGGGAAACAAGCAGGACGATGTGGGGTCCTTTCCACTTCTCTTGGAGAGGCTCATCCTTCCAGGTCCGCACGAGAACGGAGTCACCAGGCTGCAGGGAGTGGATCGGGGTATCCAGCAGAAGTGGCTGTGAATCTTTGGTGTATCTGTGAAGAGAAGAAAGAACAGCAGACAGAGAGCACATGTACTAAGACAAGAAACCACACCCCATCTCCCACTCCCCTGCCAGAACCGGTGTACCATTCAGAGGCCATGCCCTTCCAAACATAGTCTCGAAGGGACTAAGCCCTAACCTACCCTTGGGGAGAGCACGAATGCGGAGTAACACAAGGGGCAAAGCATCAGGCCACCTAAGAGAGGCCTCCTGACAGACCTTTGAGAGGTGTCGCTTGAGTGTCTGATTTGTGCGTTCCACTACTCCACTGGCTTGTGGTCGCCATGGTGTGTGGAGCTTCCAGGGGATTTGCAGAGCACTTGATATCTTTTGAACAACTTGAGATGTGAAGTGTGTTCCATTATCAAATTCCATCCACCGGGGGAGGCCGAAGCGAGGAATGATCTTCTTAACAAACTTAAGAGCCACTGTCTTGGCAGTGTTGTTACGACATGGGAAGGCCTCAGGCCATCCACTGAATCGATCCACCAAGACAAGGAGGTACCTGTACCCTTGGGTCCTGGGAAACTCAGTAAAGTCTATTTGCCACACCAATCCTGGGCCTGGGGTAGGTTCCAGGGTGGCTGGTAACACTGCTACTCCTGGTCGAGGGTTGTTCTTTTGGCAGATTAAACATTCATCCTGTACCTGTGATGCTAAGGGTTTAAGTCTAGAGGTTAGAAAATATTTATTCATAAGCTGGGTAAGAGCCTCTCTGCCTGCGTGTGTGGTCTGAT